GGAACCAAATAATTTCATCTTATTATTATTCATGTGCGGGGTATATTTTGATTAATACCATAACGCACAAAGATGGGTTCTCAAAGTTGAGGTAACAAGTTAGTTTTTCTAACATGAAGGGGAGACACGATTAACAGTTGAGAAAACGTTACATGGAATGAATTATCATTTGTACATCTAGATCCTCGAATAACATAATATGAAATTGAGGTTCATAAAAATATAATTCATCTGCAATATATTGCAAAGCATGCCAGACGCATTTGCTGACCCAAAGAAAGTAACTATATTCTCATTGCAAATGCTCATATTAATTCCTAGAAGGACAAAGTCTATGGTACGCTTAAAGTGTATAGACAAATCGGTTTCAAATAAACTTCTTGATAAAGAAGATGAGCAAATGATCAAGATGATCATAATAAAGAAGGCAAGTAATCTAGAAGATCACATGACATAACACTTCATAAAATCTCGTGAGAGATTCAGGTACCTGAATATATTAATGAAGAGATCTCTATGTTATGTCTTTATGAAAAATAAGGAGGTTGAAACCGATATAAAATGTTCGCCGACGACATCTAGATAGCGCTAAATATATATATATGAGGATCTTAAGTCTGAAGAAACAATTCAAATAGAATTGGTTTCATATGAAAGACATATAGTTCTAACACTTGAAAGTATAAGGTCAATGGTATGTGCAATCAGTTTTCAATATCTTATATGTCTAGCATGACATGAAAACTTGATATGCATCTAAAATCTATTATATGACTTATGTGACTTAACTTATATGACAATCCATGAAGGATTTAAGTTGCTTGAAGCATATACAATTCTTGATCTTGAAGTACCACTTCCTCAGTGCAATTTGTGCACAAATGTATCTTGCTATAACTATATGCATGATAATATGATAGCAAGAGTTTTCACCTCTATGTGAAGATATTGAACTGACGATTCCAACAAGATCATATGAAGACAATTCATCTCTATCAAGAAAGATAATTTCAAGGTGCAATATTCATTCAAGTTAATATGACTGATTTGTTCATCAAATCTCTACCAAAGATCTTTTGAAGATGGTGCACAAGATTGGAATGCAAATGCTCAAGGATGTGAATTAATGCTCTCATCAGGGGGAGTTAATGCGCGTTGCACTCTTTTTCCCTTACAAGGTTTTGTCCCACTGGGTTTTCCTTGCAAGGTTTTTAACGAGGCAACCAAAAGGCGTATTGTTAGATATGTGTACTCTTTTTCCTTCTCTAGAATTTTTTTCCCACTGGATTTTATTTTAGTTAAGGTTTTAACGAGGCACATTATCTGTTGAATAGACATTCAAGGGGAGTGTTATAAATAGAGTTCTATTTATGGTGAATGTCTATATTTAGAGAGATTCTAGGGTTTATTACTTGGTGGCTAAGTCACCATCTCCCTATAAATAGAGGGTTCTATTCCATTGTAATTCATCCCAAAATCAATAAGAATTCTCTCCCTCTATTTTTCTCTGCAATACTCTTCTTCTTCTTTTATTGTTTCATAACAGATTCAACCATTTATCAAAATATTGTGTTTTGATCCAACATTTAAGATCTCAAGATTTTGTTCATTTGAACTTCAACTCAAACCCTAAGGCATTTTTACAGTAAAATTTTGAACTCATTACTTTCGTCGCACTTCATATATTCTAATATAGAATTCTTTATGCTACCTGCGCCTCGTCGAAAAATAGGAGGAAGAGGACGACCTAGGAAGAATACTAGCAAATTCAGTGATGTCAGTGTTAAGGAACAAGGAAAGCAATCAGCAAAAGCCAAAGAGAAAGCGAATGAGGAAGACGATCTAGATCTAGAAAGTGATAGTGAACTGAATTGGCCATATCTGAGTAGTGCTCAACTCAAATTGGCAACGCCGGCGAAGACAGTAACCAGTGTGACACCAATGATGAGTTCTGGTACAAAAAATACACATGCAGGGAAGATCGGAGCTGAAGATGCGAGTACGAGTAAAACTCCAAGCAATAGAACAGTAACTCCAAAGGCAACCATGGAACAGAGTAATAAAGCACAAGGAAATGAGAAAAGCATGCAGGAGAAGCAAACGCAGGGAGCTGGGGAAAGATCATGGGCTGGATTATTTAGCGAGAATAAACTTGCAGCTAAAGGAATGAATCTATCATATATCTCACCAGTGATACAAGATGGTGAAATAGTGGTGCAATTGCTGGAAGATGACATAGCGGAGGAACAACAGAAATGGAATAGAGCCTTAATTCTATATGTAGTAGGAAACATCCCAACAATTGGAGCAATTGAGCGTTTCATAGCTCAACAATGGGGAAAAATCAGGAAGCCAAAGGTATTGTTTCACAGTGACGGTTATTTTATAGTTTTGATGAACAGTAATGAAGAAAGGGATGATGTTATAATTAATGGCCCATACACATTGAATAATAGACCAATTATCCTACGACCATGGAAAGAGGGGTTTGATTTTGGGGATGAGATTCTCAGAACTATACCGTTATGGGTTAAGTTCCTTAAACTACCACTTAGTTACTTGAGTATAAGGCTCTAAGTAAGATTGGGAGTGGGCTGGGTAAACCTTTATATGCTAATACATGTACCACTATGGCTGACAGAGTCTCTTATGCAAGAGTACTAATTGAGATGGACATTACAAGGCCCCTACCAGGATCAATAAAGCTCTATGATCCAACTGGGAAAATGATTGAATAGATTGTGCAGTATGACTGGAAGCCACAATATTGCCAAGTGTGTTGCCAACTTGGCCACTCATGTAATGAACAATAGCAACAACATAGAGAAGAGGGGCAGTAGAGGAACAATAATCAGAAACCAAAGCAGGAATGGAGAATAGTAAGGAAGCTTGATCCAAAGGTGGATAAGATAGATGGCCATGGAAGATTCATGGAGCAGATTGAAACAGAAGGTGAATTAGTTCCAAATCAGCAAGAGAATGACAACCAATGGCAGATTGCTAGAGGGAGGTCTGCATCAGAAAAACAAATGGGATCTAAAGGGGGAGATGAAGTTGATATAGGCAATGCATTTAAAGTCCTAGTTGACACTGCCCAGAAGATAATGCAATTCTCTGAAGAACAGGAGATAAGAAGTAGGAGGAGTAGACAAGGAAATAAAGACAATCCCAAAATAACAAATATATCATGATGAACATTATAACATGGAATGTGAGGGGCATGAACAAGGTGTATAAACAAAACTACTAAAAAAATTCTGCAAGGAGAATAGTGTAGCAGTAATGGCAGTTCTGGAAAATAGAGTAAAAGAGAGTAATGTTGATGCAATAATGAGGAAAGTGTTTGGTGACTAGAAGTGGGTAGCCAACTATGAAGCAGCACCAGGTGGAAAAATTTGGGTTGTTTGGGACCAAACAAGGGTGGAGTTTGAAGTGAAACAAGTACATGATCAATACATAGCAGGGCAGATAACTATGAGGCAATGTAACAGTAATTTCTTTTTTGTTGAAGTATATGGCAAACATAATATTCAAGATAGGAAGAATATGTGGAATGATCTCAAAGGAAACCATGAATGGATTAAATTGGCCAAGTGTTTTAATGGGGGACTTTAACAGTATCATGTCCATTGAAGATAGAATACAAGAAAATCCAGTACAAGAAGTGGAAGTGAGAGATTTTAAAAATTTTGTAGGGGATGCTGGTTTGACTGAAATCAGAACAATTAGGAGATATTACACTTGGACAAATAACAATGTGCATAGTAGAATTGACAGAATCCTAGTCAATGCAGAATGGATATAGAAGTGGCCTCAAATGGAGGGGATCATTATGCAACCTGAGTTTTCAGATCACCGCCCCTTGAAGATAACTATGGCTGAGAATATAGTATAGGGTAAGAGACCTTTAAAGTTTTTTAACTGCCTAGCTAATCATCGAAGTTTAAGGAAATAGTAAGTCATTGTTGGAGGAGGAAACATAGTGGAAACAAGATGCAAAATGTATGGTACAAGCTTAAAGCAATGAAAGGTGAACTAAAGAAGCTAAACACTCAGGAATACAGTAGTGTGGGGAATAAGATACAAGAAATAAAAAATAAACTAATGAAGCTTCAACAGGATATGAAATCTCCAGAAGATGATAGTGCAGTCATAGATGAAGAAAAGAAGACTAAAATGGAGCTGGCTAAATGGATGGAAATAGAGGAAAGCATAATGAAACAAAAGGCCAGAGTCAAATGGTTAAAAGAGGGGGACTCTAACACAGCATACTTTCATGCTTGTGTGAAAAACAGACAGGCAAGGAATCACATAGGCAGACTTACAAATAATGAAGGGCACATACTGCAGAACACAAAGGAGGTTGAAGAGGAGATTCTACACTTTTATAAAACACTACTAGGTACANACACGTACTAGGTACAACAGCCTCTGCTCTGCCAGTAGTGAATCCAGATGTTATAAAGAGTGGGAGTATGCTGAACAGGATCCAACAAATGCTGCTAATAAAGTCAATCACAAAGGAAGAAGTGCAGACAACTTTGAAGGGTATAGATGATAGCAAGGCACCAGGCTGTGATGGATACAATGCCTATGTTTTCAAGAGGACATGGAGCAAAACAGGAGAGGAAATTACATCAGCAGTATTGGAGTTCTTTGAAAGTATAGATTTGTGCAAGTCCATAAATTGCACTACTATTACTTTGATTCCTAAAGTGAAGAATCCAATAAATATCAAGGAGTTTAGGCCTATTTCTTGCTGTACAGTAATATATAAGATAATCTCCAAGATTCTAACAGCAAGATTACAGGAAGTCATGCCAGAATTAATAGATAAATGCCAAACAACTTTTGTTCCAAGAAGAATGATAACTGATAACAACATCATGAGCCATGAGTTGGTAAAAGGCTATGGAAGGAAGAACATATCACCAAGGTGTATGCTAAAGATTGATATGCAAAAAGCATATGACTCTGTGGAATGAATATACATAGAACAAATGATGAAGTTACCGGGATTCCCTGAGAAGTTTGTAAGGTGGATAATGAAATGCATAAGTACTCTGAATTATACAGTAATTATCAATGGGCAACCAGCAAAACCATTTGATGCAAGGAAGGGGCTTAGACAGGGTGACACACTGTCTCCTGTGTTGTTTGTGATGGCAATGGAGTACTTGAGTAGGCTGTTGAAAACCTTAAAGAGGAACAAAGAATTCAAATACCACCCTAAGTGTGCTAAAGTCAATTTAGTACACTTAGGTTTTGCTTAGGTGATATACAATCAGTCAGGGAGTTGCATCAACAATTTAAAATCTTTTCTGAGGCATCAGGATTAATTGCAAACCCGAACAAGAGCTGCATATACTTTGGAGGAGTAGATCTTGTGACTCAAAGGAAGATTATGGATATGCTGGGATACAACAAGGGAGAGCTACCCTTCAGATACTTGGGGGTACGTTTGGGCACAAAGAAGATATCAATTATCCAATGTGAGCCTTTGATTGATAGGATGCTGACAGAATTCAATGCTGGACATCAAAATTTCTGTCCTATGTAGGGAGAGTTGTGCTTATAAGAGTGTTTTAACTGCAATTCAAAATTTCTGGGCTCAGATCTTTATTTTGCCAAAGAAGATTATTCAGTTCATTGATACAATATGTAGAAGGTTCCTATGGTCAGGGAATGTAGAGCTTACTAGGAAGGCACTGATTGCTTGGGAAAAACTATGCTGCCCAAGAGTAGTAGGTGGCTTGAATTTTACTAATGTGGAACTATGGAACAAAGCTGCTATTTGCAAGTTACTATGGAACATATGCAAGCAGAAGGAGAAGTTATGGATACAACGGGTTAATGCTTACTATATAAAATGGAATACAGTATGGAGTACAACACCTAAGAATGCATCTTGGGTTATTCAACAGATTTTCAAGGCAAAGAATTACTTTGAAAATGCTGGTTACACTGAAGAAGAGGTGCAGAGGATGGACAATTTCTCAATCAAACAAATGTATAAAACCATGCAGGGGGAGTTTCAGAAGGTAACTTGGAGGAAATTAATATGCAACAATTTTAGACTTCCAAAATGGATATTCATATTGAGAATTGCAATTCTGGAAAGGCTGGCAACAAAGGAAAGATTAGCAAGATGGGGAATAAAAATAGAGACCATATGTGCACTATGTCAACAGAGACTGAAACAGTTCAACACTTTTTTTTGATTGTGCAATGACAGGAACAATATGGCAGCAACTGCTGCACTGGCAAGGAATACAGAGGAAGAAGCTGAAATGGCAAGAAGAACTGCATGGACAGAAAAAGTAGCAAAAGGAAGAAGTGGAGGAGCGGTTTTATGTAGAATGACTTTAGCTGCTGCAGTTTACTATATATGACAAGAAAGAAACAGTGTCATCTTTAAACAGAAAAGAAGAACAGCAGCAAGCATAGTTAGAATGATCATTCAGGAAATTCACATTAGAGCCGCCATGTTTCCTAGGTTAGAATGGACTATGACCAATGTAAACTGGTACCCGGATCCAATAGAACAGTGATAGAGGACTGAAAAGTAGGAAAGTAGAAAGGTAGAAGGACCCAAACTGGGGTTGCATGTCCAGTGGGGTTAGTTTTTGTTCTGTTGTTTGCATGTACATATTTTACTTGGTAAATAAAGTCAATTAATTACCACAAAAAGAATTCTTTATGCCGAACATGCCTTTCGAGTTCAATCGCTAGTAATTTGTGACATTAAGCGCCCTACTTTTAGTATTGAACCCTGTATAGGGTCAAATTTGACCGTCAGCGTATTTACGCCAGTGGGTACGCCCAGTGAGTGTACGCCGACTAACGTAGCGGGTACGACTCGGATGTGGGGACAAAAGCGACATCGTTTAGGACTCAGTATCTTCACTAGGGAGACGTTACCTATTTTTGTAACTTTTTGATTATTTCGAGGAAGGTCTCTTATTATATAAAGGAGACCTTCACATCGTAAAGGGAGGATTCTGGAATAATACAACTCTCTCATTTTCTGACTTTCTCTCTCTATCTTTGCCTCAAACGAACATATTCTCTTGAGTTCATATTATCACTTTGCAATACTAGATCTACAACAATAACATCATCTTTGCATCTCTAGGTCTATTATATTTGATTACGATTTACCCTTTTCTTATTTTTGATTGTTTTCTATCTTACAAAGTATATTGTTAACTTTTGAGCCAAACAATTTGGCGCTGTCTGTGGGGATTTCGAGAATCAAAATCATAGTATCCACCTAGAGAACAACCAACTACCATTCTCTACACCACACAAACACAAAAGATGGCTGAGAATAACACAAGATCGAAAGCTATATTGGGTGTCACTACCAATCTCCTTGGCCCTCTCAACGAGGTCAGTGACGATGACATCCTGAATGCAACCCCTAGCATCACATCGGGTGCGGAGATCTCACCTTCCCCATCCGAAGATCTGACGATCTTGCACGAAAAAGGAGCTTCCACATCTGCGGCCACTGAAGCACCCTCAGCGGTCAAGAAGCTACTGGAAAGATGGCTAACAAGCACTCTGAGTGGCTTGGTTGAGAGGTCACCACAAGGTAACATCAGGTGTACACCGACGGTAGATACCACTGTTGCCGTGGGCAAATCGGAAGTTGCACTAGCAAATAACGAACCCGTCGAGACACAGACCAACGATGGCACGCTAACAGCCATCCTAAAGAAGATGGAAGAAATGGAAAATGAAAAAAAGGCGCTGCGCGATCAGATGAAGGAACATCAGGAGAGGGTCGACAAGATCCCCCGTGCTCCCAAGTTGCTACCAAAACGCGACGTGGGAAGGTTCGTTGAACAACCATACACTGAAGAAGCTGCCCCTCACTCCACCCCAAAAACCTTCAAGATGCCACCCTACTTGAGGGTATATGATGGAACCACTGATCCCGAGGATCATCTGATCCACTACGTCACCGCTGTGAAGGGGAACGACCTATCAAAAGAACAGGTACCGTCGGTACTGCTGAAGAAGTTTGGCGAGACATTGACAGGAGGGGCTTTAACATGGTACTCTCAGCTACCGGCTAAGGCAATATCAACGTTCGAGGAAATGGCGGATAAGTTCGTCACAACCCATGCAGGTGCGAAGAAAGCGGAGGCCAGGGTCAAAGACATCTTCGCCATCAGGCAAACTACAGGAGAGGGACTCAGGGACATCCTAGCAAGGTTTAACAGGGTAAGGATGAGTCTACCAAACGTATCGGAAGGTATGGCAGTCGCCACTTTCTAGAACGGGCTAAGCAGGGATGGTTCGAGGGCAACCAAGAAGTTGCTGAGCCGCCTCATAAAATATCCCCCTACCACATAGGAGGAAATCCACAACGCCTATTGCACTGAGGTACGAGCGGACGAGGATGATCTTAATGGGCCGACCCAACGGCTAATAGCGATACACCCAGAAATGAGGAGAGATCGACGGAACGAAGGACGGCGAGAATAACTCCCCCGCCCCAACAGGGATCGACATCAGCCATACACCAGATCCTTCCATCCGCCACCAAGGCATACAGACGCGCTACAGCGACACGTCGCCCCACTCCGAAACGAAAGAGCTACGCCTCCTTTATTATCCGCCCATAACTTTTGTGTGTCTCCTTAAGAAATAGTGTACGCACTGGAGAAGTTGGGCACCAAAGTGCAGTGGCCGCAGAAGATGAAATCAGACCCCGCCACAAGGAAATCAAACGTCCTATGTGAGTTCCATCAAGAACGGGGGCACAAAATCGAAGACTGCATAGGCCTACGGCAAGAGGTGGTTAGGATGCTGAACCAGGGATACCTGAGGGAATTACTCAGTGACAAAGGGAAAATCAACTTTGCACGCAGACGGGAACAACCCCACGGGCCGCCAAAGCCGCCCTCCCCAGCACGCACGATAAACATGGTCGTCGGAGGCGGCGACGACTTGGCGATCAATCACGTCAAGTTCACCACCACACACAAACTAAAGCAGACCATCGCCCATGAACGGTATGACGACTTCGAAGATAGTATCACCTTCGATAAGTCTTATGCCGACGGTTTGTCTTTCCCTCATTACGATGCTTTAGTTATCACTTTACGTATCGCTGATACAGATGTTAAAAGAATCATAATCGATGACGGAAGTTGCACCTGTATTATCCACCCAAGGGTCCTCGTACAAATGGGACTCGAGGATAGGGTAATACCGCTCTGCATAACACTAACCGGTTTTAACAATGCAGTGGAACAGACGTCCGGAGAAATAGCACTGCCCGTCTTAGCAGGAGGAGTCACGCTGGAAACAACTTTCCACGTGATGAATCAAGAAACGGCATACAACGTCATCATAGGACGCCCGTGGATACACGCCATGCGAGCGGTCCCTTCAAGCCTTTACCAAGTGATCAAATTCCCTACCCCATGGGGAGTATTCAGTATTCGAGGCGAGCCACGCACCGCACAAGAATGCTACAAAATAGCCCAAGACTGCGCCCACACCCAACAGCTAAAGGGGGCGAGCGCGGAGGCATAACAATTAGCCGTGTCGGGGACTAAGGTCAACCCGACAATGGACGCCATCAAAGACCCCGACGTTGTGGAGGCCTGTAAAGCGACGGTCGAAGATCTCGACCCAGTCCAATTGGACGAAATCAATCTTACGAAGAAAGCCTATATCGGGCACGGTCTCGCCAACCCAAGTAAGTATCGTGAATTCTTAAGTAACCATGCAGATTTGTTCGCCTTTTCCCATTCAGATATGCCGGGAATCCCGCGAGACATCGCTACCCACAAGCTGAATGTCGATCCACTACATCCGCCCGTGCGACAGATGAGGAGAAAATTTAACGCCGCTATCAACGAAGCGGTCAGTACGGAAGTAGACAAGTTACTGGCCAACGGCTCCATCAAAGAATCAAAATACCCCCAGTGGGTTGCCAATGTCGTCATGGTCAAAAAGAAAAACGGGAAGTGGAGAATGTGTGTGGATTTCACTGATCTGAACAAAGCATGCCCAAAGGATTCATTCCCACTACCCCACATCGACCAACTGATCGACGCCACTGCAGGACACGAACTACTGAGCTTCCTAGACGCCTACTCCGGCTACAATCAAATCATGATGGCCGAGGAGGACCAAGAGAAGACAACTTTCATCACCCACCAAGGGACTTACTGCTACAAGGTAATGCCCTTCGGGCTCAAAAATGCAGGGGCTACGTACCAGAGACTGGTCACCAAAATGTTCAAAGAGCAGCTCGGTAAGACTATGGAAGTCTGTATCGACGACATGCTGGTAAAGTCGACAAGAAAAGAGGATCACATCGACCATCTGAAAGAAGCCTTCGAGATATTGAGAAGGTACGGAATGAAACTGAACCCCGAGAAATACGCCTTCGGCGTGGCCTCAGGAAAATTCTTAGGGTTTCTCGTATCACAACGAGGTATCAAAGTCAATCCAGATCAGATCAAGGCGATAGACGCAATACCCGAGATACTGAACAGCAAAAAGCAGGTGCAAAAGCTGACGGGGCGAATAGCCGCCTTGTCTAGGTTCATCTCGCGATCCTCCGACAGATGCCATAAGTTTTTCAATGTGCTGAGAAAGGACAATGGGTTACAGTGGAATGAAGAATGCGTCGAGGCCTTAAGAAAATTGAAAGCGTACCTATCTTCGCCGCCACTACTGGCCAAAGCAAATCCAGGCGAGCCCCTGCTGGTATATTTGGCCGTATCCGAGGTCGCCGTCAGCGCAGTCCTAGTTCGTGAAAACGAAGGTACGCAATCTCCTATTTACTATATTAGCAAAACCTTAGTGGACGCCGAAACACGGTATCCACACCTTGAAAAATTAGCTTTGGCATTGGTCGTAGCTTCACGGAAGCTTCGACCCTATTTCCAATGCCACCCCATAAAAGTAGTGACGACCTTCCCCTTGAGAAGTATCCTACACAAGCCTGAGTTATCAGGCAGACTCGCCAGATGGGCCATAGAGCTCAGTGAGCACGATATCTCATATCATCCAAGAAACGCCATCAAGTCGCAAGTACTTGCCGACTTCATCGCAGAGATCTACCAGAGGCGGAATTAGAGGCATGTCGTGCCCCCTCCAACGCCGACCTATGGACTCTTTACACTGATGGCGCCACTAACGCCTCGGGATCGGGACTGGGACTCGTTCTCGAGGTCCCCACGGGCGAAACAATTCGCCAGTCCATACGATGCCCCGAGATGACTAATAACGAAGCCGAGTACGAGGCTGTTATTGCAGGTTTGAAACTAGCCATCAAATATGGAGCTCGACGACTCGTTTTCCATTGCGACTCTCAACTCGTGGTGAACCAGGTCACCGGGACTTACCAAATCAAGGAGCA